AGCATTGGTAATGGACTATCTCATGATAAATTCGACTCCCATGAACATGGAAGCCTTTAAGTATGAAAAATTTGATAAACTATGAAATTTTTTCAACTGTTTCACCACACATCATTTGGTATGTGCTCATAAAAATTTTGCTAGTATCATTCGCATTATGCTTTTGGTTCCTTTGCATTATTATATATTAAAAAACTACTAATAATTTAACTCATAGTATAATCATATTCAATACTTATAACTCATTTATTAGCCGTATAAAATCCATTTTTGTTGATAGGTCGCTTTTAATTATGTGATGGGAGATGAACAATAAATCTAAACCCAAATTTTGATTAAACAATGCTTTACATTTTTCAGGGCTACCAAGCAATCTTATGTAAGTAAAATCATTGGAATGTCAATTGGATCTTAGTGAGCATTGATTATTGAAACCATTTATCCCTTTGCTAATCATCAAAATGTTCGACCTCCCAATTAATTAAGATTTGGTTTTGAAACCTCGGCCTTGAATATTCTCTTATTGATTTTCTAAAAAAATTGGTCACTTCCCATTTTAAAAATTGTGATGTTAGCAACTTTCAGCGCTTTCAGCGTGATGCTTGTGAATTTGTAAACATTATTATACTCTTATGATCTTCTAATCATTTTTCCCTTGCAAACATTGACATATTGGGGCCTTCTTGAATTCTCAACATCTTTGATGCTAAATGTGTTGTGTTATTGTTGTCAATTATACTTGAATTACTTTGTTATTTTTAATAAAAGAAAAATCCAAACTTAGTAGCATCTTTCCCCTCTTTCACAAAGTGATAAGTATCATGTTTGGAGTTCTTATTAAAAATTTAGATTTAATATTGCCACTAAGCTCTCCTATTTCTTCATAAAATGTTAGATTATTTATGAATTCTCTTGCATTGATATGCCCCGGACAAATCTATGTGGTTGAATGGAAATATTTATATCTTCTTAATATTGATCGAGCATTATAATTTCAAAATAATATTGTAATTACCTTTGGCGAAAAGCCAGTCTTAATTTTCAACTAGAGTCCTAGTAGTTATTACCCAAAATTTACAAGTATTTTAATCCCTTCTAAAATTTTTAGTTTTCTCCTTTATGAATGTTCATACTTATAATGGAGACAATTTTGATCTAAGAGCTTTAACATGTGCGTTTATCAAATACTAAAGGGGGATATAATGTTATCACCCAACTACAAGGAAATTTTGTATTTCCGTGGGTGTTCTTTTTTATGAAAATGAATGCTACTTTACTTGGTCTTTTCCTTAGAAGAGAATACTACAAAGACTGAAAATGAGTATGAGCATTTTAAAGCTGGCATAGTTTAAAGTTGAATCAATAAATGACATAGATGGTGAGAACCAATGAACCAAAGGATAATCCCTCTGGATAATTCCTGCAAGAGTTTGAAATCAATGAATTTGGGAGGCTGAAACAATTCTTAGGCATTAAAGTAGCATATTTTAGAGAAATCTTACATCTCAACAGAGTATGTGTTGGATCACTTGAAAGAAAATGGTACTCTGGGCAACAAGGTTGTTGGATCACCTGTCAAATCCAATGTATGGCGTATGGAGAGCATAATGATAGCGTTGTAGATTGAGGAAGGTTCGAAAGATTGATTTACTAATCCCACACAAGCTGTATATTGCCTATATTGTTAGAGCAATAAGTTAAGGATGTAGAACTATATATGCAAGTGATGTTGATTTGAAAATTACACGTGCTTGAATAGAGCTTAACAATTTATTAACTCACAATGAACTTAAGCAATGACTTCAGCATGCAAGGGGGCAATCAAGTTTACGAAAACAGTCACATGCTAATGGGAGGACCATTAAATAACAGATTAATTAATTACATGCTCACGTGGTGTTGCAGAAACAATCCCTTTGCTAACAAATATATTAGTCGCTACAAAGGCCTACTCACACAACGCTCTTGGTGTGGGCTAAGCAGATAAACTTTTACAATAAAACGATGACACGATTGAGGAGGGATAAATAAGATACGAGAGGGGGAGGGGGGGGGGGGTTTACCCGCATGGAGGAAGATATTAAGCCACGACGAAGTCGTTTGGTTGCCTATGTGGAAATGACAACAATATGAACCCTCTTGCATGCCCGGACAACACTCTAACATCTACGGAAACTCTGGACAACTATGTGGACGACAAATTCTGAAACAACTGGTAGTGGGGCTGGAAAATGGGCCAATCTTGTATTTCAACAGCAGGCGGCGTCTTTGGGATGATTTGGGAGGGAAATAACAAGCTCCCGTCGTGAAATTTGGGGGGGGGGAGCACTAAATGATTTGGGGGTTGATTTAGGGCCTTAGTGGAGTTGCCAACTATAGCTTACTAGTTAAGGAAAGATGAATTAATTCAGATTTCCAATTAATATTCAGATTTAATGACGTGATATCCTTTCAAATATAGCCCAACAATTTAGGAAAGGAATTCAAGGCTTGTAGGAGAATTCAATTTTGAATTCAAATTCTCAAAATTAACGCTAGGCTAATTTAGGAAGGGGACTTAATTGGGATCCTCCAATTTATATTCAAATTGAATGATTGGGATTTCTTTCTAAACATAACCCAACAATTTGGGAAAGGATTTCAAGGCTTTATGGGATTTTGAATTTGAATTTCAGATTTTTCAAAATTAACACTAGGCTAGTTTGGGAAGGGGAATTAATTGGGATTTCCAATTAATATTCAAATTGATTGATTGAGATATATTTCCAAGCATAACCCAATAATTTGTGAAATGATTTCAAGGCTTTAGGAGATTTTGAATTTGAGTTTCAAATTTTTAAAAATTAACACTAGGCTAATTTAGTAAGGGGAATTAATTGGGATCTCCAATTAATGTTCAAATTGATTGATTGTGATATCTCTCCAAACATAAGCCGACAATTTGGGTAGGATTTCAAGGCTTTAGGAGAATTTGAATTTGAATTTCAGATTTTTTTGAAATTAATGCTAGGCTAATTTAGGAAAATGTTGAGGATTAATTTGAAATTTTGGGAGGTAAGGGAAGAGGGGTTCATTATGATTTTAGCCATGAGAACAAGGAGGTGGTCGGCGGCTATGAAGAGGGGGGAAAGGAGAGGTTGTGCATGGTCAAGGTTAGGAGGAGAAGGGAGATGGTCGGTTGGAGCTTTGGGAGGAGATGACAATGGTGGCAAGCTCAATGGGGGTGGAGGCAGAGATAAACCGTGAGCCTGGACGTTTCCTGTGGCTGACAAATCTTGTTTTGCCCTCACCTAGGGACTTCACATAAGCTCTCACAAGAACTCTCAAGGCTCTCAAACACACCAAGACATAAAGTGCAAAAAAATTCATTCAAAATAATCATCATCCTTCCTAAGGGGGAGGTGAGGCTATAAATAGACAAAATACAATAAAACATCAAATGACAAACGTGCCCCATGGGGTCATATAAACCTACTCCCTCAAGTGAGGGTAAAAATTAAAAACTACACATAATTGCTCAGAAATAGAGCAATCCGATCCTAGCCGTAAATCTCCTGCCTTTCCTCTTATAAACTTTCCACAGCCAGATGTCCTCATCATTTACTTCTTGCATGATCTAAATAAAAAAAAAAAACTCATGAGTTGTCCATAATGTCCTTCAATGTCTAGCAACTACTCTAGGAAGAGGATTCTTCTTGAAGAGTAACAAACTTAGTGTATATGTTTATTAAATGCTGATTATGCGAGATTAGTTAATGATTGAAGGCCAACAACTAGTTACTATACCTTTCTCGGAGGTAATCTCGTTTCGTAGGGAACTAAGAAACACATAATTGTAGCTAGATTAAGTGTTGAAGTTGAATTAAGATTAAGAACTAAAATACTTAATTTCAAAAAAGTGTTGAAGTTGAATTCAAAGCTATAGCTAAAAACATCTATGATATTCTATGGCTTAAACTAAACTTCATGATCTCAAAATCAAATATGAAGGATTTGTGAGACTTTATTTTGACAATAAATCATCAATCAATATTACTCACAATCCTTTCTAATATGATCGTGCACAACATATTGACATTGATAGATACCTTATCAAAGAAAAATTGGACAGTTGTTTAATTAGCACTCATTGCATTTCTTCAAATAATTAATAAGTAAATGTTATGATCAAAAGACTACCAACTTTAAGGTTTCAAGAAATTACTTGTACGCTAAGAATGAATCTATCTTGTGGGAAACCTCATGATAATGCAAGGATCCATGTTGGCAATCCCAGGGATCCATGATGGTAATCAAGGGATCTAGGTTTTTATTTGTGGAATTATTGGTTGTGTGAAATCTGAAATTTTGTGTATAAATAGTTTCTTTTGTAGCTTTACAAAATTAAGAATATATATATATTTGTAAGGTTATTTCTTATTTTTATCCAATTAAGAGTAATGTTTTTCCCTTCTTATGGCTTCCTCATATATAGTAGAGGATTGGTCGACTGTACTAGAAGAAATAACAAGAGGATTTGATTCCTCCATTCTCAATTTAACTTTTGTTTTTTCTTTCATAACTTATTTATTTTTTGTTATCTGCATGAGCTCTTTCCTATTGGGATGACTTGCTGGTGGGTGACCAATGAATTTAGGATCTAGCTGGAACAAGACTTATGGGTGATCATAATTAGTTGACGTAACTAGGAAAGTTTAATTTTAAAGATTTCTCCTTTGCTTTCAAAATGCTGTGCTGTTGACTGCGGCTGTATGTGCTTGAAATTAAGATTAACTTAGTTTTTTGATAAAGAAAAATTTCTATGATAATTGTTATTCCTTTCAAATATAGAGATTATTAAGATGGTCTGTAAAAGAATTATTTAATTGCACAAAAGATATAAGCGTGCTCCCTTATCTGTGGTTTTTCAGTTTTCCTTACAGATCTTTATACTTCTGGCTTTTAAAAAGTTTTTCCTTTTATGCAAACTGATTAATTTTGTATGATCTCACTCCTTTCAGCAAATTGTGCCACCCGTACTTGACTCCTTTCTTGACCAAGACAGCAGAGTTCGGTATTATGCATGTGAGGCACTATACAACATAGCAAAGGTGAGTTTGTTTCATTTTAATAATGTATTATCTTTTTCTTTGATATTAATTGTTGGTTTAAAGATGCCGCTGATGCTGATGATGATCTTTCATGTAACCTAAAAATTTAGCCATTTGAATATCTTTTTTGTAGGTTGTTAGAGGAGATTTCATTGTTTATTTCAACCAGATTTTTGATGCCCTTTGTAAGCTTTCAGCAGACTCGGATGCCACCGTGCAGAGTGCTACCCACCTACTAGATCGACTAGTAAAGGTAAGTGAACGATGTCTTTTTTGGGCATATTTTGGACTCGGAATTGTTATCAATTTGATCTTGTTGTAACAATTATTTTGGCCAATTAACCAGGATATCGTTACTGAGAGCGATCAATTCAGGTTCTCTCTACGATATCCCCTTTTAGTTTTCCAGGAAGGGTAGCTTTTATTCAAGTGCTCTCATATTATTATAACTTCTTTTCTTATTTGTTAAAGCATAGAAGAATTTATACCATTGTTACGAGAACGGATGCATGTATTAAGCCCCTACGTTCGACAGTTTTTGGTAGGATGGATCACTGTGCTGGATAGTGTTCCAGATATTGATATGCTTGGTTTCCTTCCAGATTTTCTTGATGGTAACAATGCTTTAGACAATCCTATTTGCGCACTTGTTGCACGTGCTTCAACAAAAAACATCTAAGACGTGCGATTCGATATGCATAGGCCTCTTCAACATGCTAAGTGATTCCAGCCATGAAATACGCCAACAAGCTGATTCTGCACTCTCAGAATTTCTACAAGAAATAAAGAACTCTCCAGTAAGGATTTCCGAAACTAGTATATATTAGTAGTACTTAGCTTGGTTGTTTCTTGAAATTAACTTGCCCGGTACTTGTGGCGTTCTAGGAGTATTTTTTCCTGAATGCCGTACTTGTTCTTAGTTCATAAATAAAACTATCCGAAAGTTGTAAATGTCAAAAGCAATAGGTTAATTGCTAAATTTGTTCATTTTTATGGGGTTGCTGACCTAAAATGTGCTCTGAAGAATGTAGATTATGGCCGCATGGCAGAAATATTAGTACAGAGGGCTACTTCTACAGATGAGTTTACTAGGTTAACATCTATCACCTGGGTAAGGATGAATAAACTTATAATTTTTTTTCTTCATTATGATTCTTCTATATAATCTTTTGATTGGTTGTTCTTTATTAATGAAAAAGAGTTCCTTTAATGTTTCCTTGCTTTCTTACCACATTGGAAATGATTTTCATAAGCTGATCTGTTGATTTGCAGATAAACGAGTTTGTTAAACTTGGTGGAGACCAGCTTGTTCCACACTATGCAGATATTCTTGGAGCCATATTACCTTGCATATCAGACGAAGAAGAGAAGATAAGAGTGGTAAGCATAGTTCTATCCTTTTTATTCCATCCATGTATGATTGTCTGTAGATGATTTAGAACAAATCTTTTTAATTCTTTCTTAGGTTGCTCGTGAAACTAATGAAGAACTTCGTGCCATTCATGCTGAACCAGCGGAGGGATTCGATATAGCAGCAATCCTTTCGATTGCAAGGAGGTGCATTTTTTTTTCTGTCATCTGGGAATCAGCGAGGTTTAATGGTTACTTATGCCAATATAATTCCTGAGTTGATATTTCTTGTGCCTCTCTGCTAGCAACAGCAGAAATCTATCAGGAAGGACCTTCTATTTTATTTGGCTAAGTTGAGGGGAAATCTTCGAGTTTAGTTATTTTTGCGACTTGATGAGTAATAATGTGATTGTTTTTTGCTCTGTTCACTATAATTATGATATATTGCAATGCTCTTCTGTCAGACAATTAACAAGCCAATGGGAAGCCACAAGATTGGAAGCCCTTCATTGGATTGAAACACTGCTGACCCGTCATCGATCTGAGGTTATTATTCAATTTGATAAAAGCTATTCAACTATTTTATTCATCCTGTTCCTATAAATGAACTTTTTCTCGTATATCTTTTACTTGTATCATGAATAGTTTCTAAGCAATTTCTTCAGTGTGCTGATTAAAGTTTTTTCTTCAGTTGCATATGTAATTTGGCTTTTAATTTATTTTCTTGTACCTTTGTCATGATTAGTTTCCTGCATGATGCATGACAGTTGTTTTTGGTTGGATTATTATTTTTGTCTGATTCGAGTTTTTTTTATTGATTCTTGCTGGTGAACACTTTTTATCTGATTAACGTGTTCAGCAATTTACCTTTTACTCCTGCTTTGGGTTTTGCTATAATATTTATATATGTTGCCCTATTAGATTCTATTGATTATTTGCTTCGGTTGTGCATCAACACATGTTGTGTTGCCTATTTCAGTCAAGGAGTTGAACGATATCAACCTTCACACATTGAGAAGGAATATGGTTCATTGCTTGTGCGGAAAATTTCAAGCCTAAAAGCCCAATTAAATGACTTAGTGTCTGATTAGAGGATGATGAACTTGCTCGAGATTGATGGCATGTCTTAGCTCAAGTAAATTGAGTTCTTTGATTAGATTGAGGTGATTATGGAATTAATGTCATCTGTAAAAGCTGTTGGACCAAAGTTGACTATTGCTTTTCAAAACTATCAATCGGACCAACATTCTTTACTCCATAGAAACTCTGCACATATTACTACTTTAACACTAGTATTTATGTTTGAGGAATAAAGGATGGCACATTTGTGATGCTATTTATTCTGCTTAGCATTGACATATCCATTTGAACAAAGAATAATGTTTACCTATCCCCTTGGCTTGATGAAATGAAAGAGATAATGTTTAAAATTATTGTTTGTCTGAGTTATATCCAAGTTGATCCACCTCACTGATGTGAAACATACATGCAAGAATGATTTAGATTAAGGAAATTGCATGCTTAATATTTAGAGCACAATAATTATATATTTATAGTGATTTCGAATGACAACATAAAACACAAAGCGGTGACATAAACTTAGGCTAAATCACATGTATAGGAGTTGAGAACGTAAAATAATCAATTAATCTAACATTGCATACATGAAAAGTTTCAACAAGAAATTCCTAGCTAAGAATGAGATTAATAATACGAAGGACCCCTCACACAACTCTATAATTTACCAGGCTTTAGCGGATGACTAACACGATCTCACTGAATCAATTAATTTCACAATTGAAAGTAACTAGGAAAATAAAAGAGTGAGGGAAAGAGTTCACCGAATCCTGGGTTTAGGGCTTTGGGGCATCAACTAGAAGGTCTTTCCGGACAGGACAGTCGCTTCCTTTGGCTGAATTTCCTCTGGACAGCAACCTGGATCCTGTTCGGCGAAGTGGGGCGGCAGCTGGAGGACTTTGGAGCAACGGAACTGCTGTTTCTGCTGCTGAAATTCTTCTGGACAGCTGCGATGAGAGCCGTGGCAGCAGTTTAGACTCTCCAGAAATTCTGGACAGCAGGATGCTCCTGCTGGAATGCTTGGACAGCTAGCAGGTTGTTTTGAAAATCAGTGGAGACGGCCAGGTTTAGGAGAGATTAGTGAGGGCTTGATTTGAGGGTTTAAGGAAGTAAATTAAATAGATAGGAGAGGGGAAGGAGGGGCGGCAGCCAAGGGGATTTAAGAGGCGTTTAATTAGGGCTATATTGCAAAGTAGAGAGAGAAAGGGGATAGAGAGGGGCCGGCCATATGGGGGAGGGGTTTAATAGGTTTAGGTTCAATGTATGTGGGCATGTGGGAATTTAATTAGTGATTGTCATTAGATCTAAGATTGAATTCAGATTTAATAGAATGGGGAGGTTTCCTAATTTGAGTTTATTAATAGGGAAAGCTTTAAAATTCAAATATAAATTTGAATTCACATGATGTAACTTTCCAAATTAATGGTGAGATAAATTAGGAAAGTAATTAAGGTAGATTTGAATTTTGAAATTCAAAATTCAAGAGTAATTGGTAGAGGGGCCGGCGGCTAATGGAAGCTAGGGGAGGCCGGTGGTGAGGGGACTTAGGGGAGTCTGACGATGGGAAGGATTTGGGAAGGCCGGCGGCTTGGGACTGTGGTGATGGCCGGCGGGTTAGGGTAAGGAAAGAAATGGTTATGGATGGGCTTGGCCGGCATCAAGGATTGGGAGGGAGATGTTTTGGTGGTGTGGAGGTGGAAAAGGGAAGGTGGTGTATGAGTGGCCGGCGGCTTTAAGGGGTTGGGAGCTTGGGATGACCGACGGCTATGGGGTGGATGTAAACCTAGGCCGACGTCTAGGGAGAGAGGGGGAAAAGAGAGAAGAAAAAAAGGGAAGAAAAGATAAGAACCGAGAATCCGAACTCTTCCATGGTTGGTGGGTGATCCGTTTCCCTTCACCAAGGGACTTTCTATAAGTTCTCTCCAAGAACCCTCAAGCTCTCACAATAGTAAAATACAGAAATTTTATTCAACAACAACAACAACAACATCAAGCCTTTATCCCACTACGTGGGGTCGACTACATGAATCCTTTTTCTCCATTGTGTCCTATTAAAAGTCAAATTCTCGTTTAAATCTAATAAAGAAGGGTCATTCCTAATATTTTCTAACCAAGTCTTTGTAGGTCTACCCCTACCTTTCTTAACATAAGTCAAATCTAATACCTCTACTCTCCTAACCGGGTCATCGAAAGGCCGCCGTTTTATGTGACCAAACCATCTAACGACTAGCAAAAAGCATACACCAAGGTACATCCTCTTGCAAATGTCTAGTGAGAACATCCATGACTAAAGCAAAAAGATATGGGCTTAAGGCTGATCCTTGATGTAACCCAACCGAAATAGGGAAATACTTGGTCAATCCACCTTGTGTTTGAACACAAGTAATAGCTCCTGCATACATATCTTTAATGATTTGAATATAAGCATTATTGACTCCTTTCTTTTCAAGAACTCTCCAAAGCACTTCTCTTGGAACTTTATCATATGCTTTTATTAAATCAATAAATATCATTTGTAGATCCTCCTTTTGTTCTCTATATTTCTCCATCAAACCTCTTAATAAATGTATGGCTTCCATAGTCGACTTACCCGGCATGAATCCAAATTGATTTTGAGAAACATTAGTATCACACCGCAATTATGCTCCATAACTCGCTCCCATAGTTTTAAAGTATGACACATTAACTTAATACCTCTATAATTCGCACAATCTTGTGCATCACCTTTATTCTTAAAAATAGTAATTAACACACTTATTCTCCACTCATATGGCATCTTTTTAGTCTTCAAAATAGTATTAAAAAGTTTAGTCAGACAAGAAATTCCTTCATCTCCTAAGCATTTCCACACCTCTATTGGAATATCATCAGGTCCAAGAGCTTTTCCACCCTTCATTTTCTTTAAAGCCTCTTTAACTTCAGTTTTACTTATACGCCGATAAAAACAGAAATTTTTATTAAAGCTGGAGGTGGAGAGGTTGTTGATCGGCCGACGAGTTGCCAAGGTACCTTGGGTCGTTGATCTTCAATCGTCTCGGCGAGGCAATAGAGAATGTGGTTGACGTAGCTTTCCACAGAGCCTTAGTAATCGCAATCCAGATTGTAGAAAGGAGAGAGCAAGATATCGATTTCTCCTTGAGCGTTGTAGGCAAAACCGTGGTTGACCTTAGGGTCGGCCATACACCAATTGTATACGGGAGGAAGGAGCTTGTCTTCTTCTCTTGGCTTCAAAAGACATGAGAGACTTAAGGTTTCCAAGGGAGAGGAGGCAATTGGAGGGGGGTGGTGTGGCCGGCGGTTTAGAGGTTTGTACTAGGGTTAGGTGGCGGTGGGGTTTGGGATTGGGCTAGCCGGCTGTTGGGGTGGGGGTGTGGGGAGGAGAAATGACAAGTTGTGGTGGAGAGGTTATGGGCTGAGAAGATTGGCACCTTGGTGGAGGGCTTGAGGAGGTGGCAATTTAGGGAAATTAGGAAAAAACAAAACAAAGAAAAAAAAGAAGATAGAACCGCGAGCCTTGGACTCTTCCGAAGACTGACGGGTGATGCGTTGCCCTTCATCAAGGGACTTCAAACAACGAGCCCGAACCCATCCTGCAGCTGGTGGAAACTACGATTCACTCCTATAGAAATCTCACCCAAGTTCTCTCCAAAGAACACAAGTGCAAACCTTTTATTTTATTAATAATTCATCATTGTCTAATGCAAGTGCAATGACCTCTATATATAGGCCTTAAAAGAAACTAAAAAACAACTTTGACTATTGGGCTTACATAAGACAAGATCCTTAAGGGTAAAAACAGAAAATGCATAATTAAATAAAAAAATGCAATTAATAAACTAAGATAAAATAGAGGGATCTCGATTGTCGATCTTCATCTCTTCCTTTGATTAACGTCCACTGTCAGATGTCCGCATCAACAATATTAATGAACAGTGCAATTTTATTCTACAATACGCATGTCAAACATGGTTGCAAGAGTCTCAAATATTTATTTGATTTGTCTTTTGGAAGCAAGTGGAAACACCAAAAACCATGCTAAGCACTTTAGTTATTAGTCGAGCCCGTAGGAGGGTAAGGACGGGTTGTATTTTGCTTAATTTCAATGAAAGCAATTAGCAGCAAAAGTACTATAGGTAATCACACCAATTACAATCTTTAATAATTAAGCCCATCATTAAGGTGAGGGGGGTTATTTAACCATTTCTACAAGATGTTCTAATGCTTTTTTATTTTATCATGCATAAGTGCAACAAGGGTCTAAAAATTTGACTCTAAGCATTATTTGCATTTGGTAGATCAAGAACTTAAATTTAAGGGTTTATGATTTACCGACTTAGGTAATTTCATTGTGGTTAGTTTGATGGCATACAAATCGAGGCAGCAAACACCTATATCAATTCATCCACACCAAAAATCTTTCTTGCAAGTATTCTTTCTTCACTTATGTCGGTGATCTTCAATGATTATCA